GTACTCGTATCACTGGTTGAGCTACACTCCATTGCCATCTGCAGGGTGTAAGTAGCACGTTCACACTTGGCGGGAAGTGACTCATGTCTTGTAGCAAGTTCCTGTGCAGAAAAATAAGGATGACTTAGCAGGCAGGAAATGCTAATGTGCTTAGCCCCAGCTTACCGCCGTGTCTGTGAAAGCAATGGTAAAACTCCCATGGCCTTGGAATGGGGGAAGGCTTTTGACAATCCCTGTCTTCGTTATTGAATCAGAGGGGTTTATAGGCCTGTGTTTTGCGGTGTAAATGCTAAATTGATCAAGCACCAGGGCTATGCCATAGCTGCGCTTTGTCCTGCAGGCTCCCCAGCTGTGCGGCTGTTTATAGGAACAGGCAGTTGGTTTTGGGGTGTGCGTGGGTGGGTGAGGTCCAAGGAGAGAGCCGTGCATGCAGGATATCTTCCTGGGCATGACAGTATTTTTATATCTCAAGCAAGGATTCGTATCCACCACATGTGTAGGAGCGTTGTGTGCACACCCAGAGGCAGAATTTAGCCTCACATGAAGACATCAATTGCACACTTATTCATTTTGATTTTACATGTTCATTCCCAGAAGCCCATCCTAGGCGCATGCTAGGCCCCCTTCTGTCATTGACAATTCTAACATTTATGTAAGCCATGCCCAGAGCAGCTTCACCTCTTTACAAAAAAAACAAATAAAACCCCGTTGCCCCATATCCCATCCCATCTGATGCTGGGCTTCTCCTGGACGTCACTTAGAGGAAACAGAATTTGGGGTAAGTCTCTAGCATCAGGGGAAGAAAAGGGTAGAAAGTCGGTCCTGAAGCAAATCTAACAAATATGGGTCTCTTGGGGACTTCATTGCTGGCTATAGACTGTGGACCACAGGCAGAGAACACTTTATGGAAATGGTCAGTGGTGCCCTGGCCTATAAGGACAAACCTCTGTAACCTGAGCACTGGGAAATCCCACCATGCCTGTAAGTAGTATAGGGGACATGACACATGAATAAGAGTTCTAATTCCATCCAGTAGAAGGGTGTGGAAGACATTATTATTGGTGCTAATATTCTTTATTTGTGGTAGCACCCACTATGTGCTGGGCATTTTCAAACTCTTTAAAAGCAACCCTGGCTCTGAGCAGCTTCCGATTTATAGATTCACTGACTAGTTCATTGCTGAGTTCTTTGGGCACACGGGATCACTCAGAATCTGGTTGTACACTGCCCAGCTAGCCCATGGAAACGGACTTTGCCACTCAGCGTGAGTTACATTTAAACTAGCTGAAGATCTGTCTTCCTAGCTTCCCAGTTCTGCTCCTGGTTTCACCAAGAAGAACCCATCCGCCCCCTGGAATTTCACACCTGGCTTATTGAAAGCAACCAAAGAACAATGAGTCGACAGCAGCTTCTCACATTCTTTCTCCCTTCTGCATGCACTTATTGAGTCATCAGCCACGCTGGAGAGGGGTTCACTCACATAAGTTGTTAGAACTTAAAACAACAAAAAGTTCTGCTGCACCTTAGCGCAGTGGTCCCCAATGTGGTGCCCACTGGGACATTTCTGTGCGCCCGCCGAGTGATTGGGGCTGGCCCTGCCCCCGGTGCATGGCATGTGAGTGGTGCCGGCCCCTGGGCATGCAGCGTATGGGCGTCCCTGCCCCTGGTCACGCAGCACAGGAGCGGCGCCGGCCACAGGCATGCAGAGCCGGCTCCTGGGCATGCAGAGCATGGGCTGTTCTGGCCCTGGGAGCGTGACGTATGGGCAGGCCCACCCCCGGGTGAGGGGCACAGGAAGGGCACCGGCCCTGGGAGTGCGGTGCATGGGTGGCACCGGCACTGGGCACTGGGCATGGCCCCACCCCTGGGTGCCCAGCAGCCCCAAAAGGTTGGGGACCCCATTGCCTTAGAGATTAACAAAACAGGTAGATGCTATCATGTGCTTTCATGGGCACAGCCCACTTCTTCAGATGAATGGAGCAAGGAGTCCCAGGGACAAATAAATAGCGCTAATAGAGTAGGCTGTAAGTACCTGGTGTTTCGCTTTTGATGTCATTAGGGCGTGGAACGTAGCGGCCCACCCATGTTAGATCTTTGTTCAAACCTTGATTACAGGTGTCACACTTGTCAATGAAACCAAGTTCTGCAGCTTCTCTCTCCAGTTGTTTTTTGAAATTGCTTTGTAAGAGTATAATCACTTTTAGATCCACTAGTGAGTGCCTGGCAAGTTAAAAATGTTCCCCAACTGGAATGTTACCATTCCAGTTACCATTTCTGATGTCTGATTTGTGTCCATTAATCCTTTGTCACAGAGACTGGCCACTTTTGCCAATGTACATGGCAGAGGGGCAGTGCGGGCACTTGATGGCATAGATCACATTGGTGGACGTGCAGTTGTATGAGCCCCTGATGTGGTAGATGATGTGCTTAGGCCCTGTGATGTCACTTGTGTAGATGTGTGGACAGCGCTGGCACCGGAGTTGATTGCAGAGGTGGGTTCCTAGGAGAGTATGATGGAGGTGTTGCTGGACAGAATTAGTTTCAGGTTAGGGGGCTGTCTGTAGGCGAGGACTGACCTATCCCCCAAGGCCTGTGAGAGCGAGGAGTCATTTTCTAGGACAGGTAACAGATCATTTATGATGCGATGGAGGGGTGTAAGTTGGGGGCTGTAGGGCAGCGTTTCTTAAAGTGTGTTCTGTGGTACGCTGATGTGCCGTGAGGCAATCGGAGGTGTGCCATGGAGAGAACAGAATTTTTGTTTGTTTGTTTTTTTGGGTTTTTTGGTCAACAACTTTTCCCGGGGGAATGGCCACCCTTAAAGGGGTAAACCTTTATTATTTTTTTTTGCTCAACAAAAAAATCCTTAGTGTTCCCCATAAAAAAAAAACATTGCTTGGTGTTCCTCAGTCTTTAAAAGTTTAAGAAACACTGCTGTAGGGGATGACCAGTGGTGTTCTATTGTTTTCCTTGTTGGGCCTAAGTGGTTAAAGTTGTGTGAGGTTTCTTCACCAGCCTGGGCAGTGTTTAAGCAACGTGTGAAGTGTCTTTTGGGGCTCTCCACGACAAAGCCCAGACATGCAGTGTTGGTTCCAAATAACCATGTTTAGTAACTATCCACAAACACACATCGCTCCACAGAGAATGTGGCTCTAACCGGTTTCTTCTAAAACACAGAACAGAGGCAGTACCATAGGTGGGCACACGGATTATGTAGGAGGACCCTACTTTATTCCTGTATGCTGCACTATGTGTGAGGGATCTCTCTCAGCTGGGCAGTATACTGAAGAACAATAAAAGAACGCATCACCATTGTTCAAAGACAAACGATACTGGAGGCATCTCGCTTTCAGCATGCGATTGAAATGCCTTTCTCTGTGCACAGTATTGCATAATAATCAGACCCGTACAGCCTCTGCTGTAACCGTTTCTGGAGCAATAAAGGCAGATCTGTGCCCTCCCCATCTTCACCCAGAGCAAACACCGCATGGGACAGCACTCACAAAGCAAATATCCGGTGACAGGGAAAGAAACATTTTCACCAGTCACTCCCGGCCTCCTCGCTGCCCTAGGCAAACTGGCCTATCTCTGCCCCCCACAGATTGCAGCCACACACGCGATAAACAACTACCAAATAGTTTCCTGTCCCTGGTATTTTCATGTCCCAGGCAGCTGCCTGATCTGGTTGCAAAGCGGAGCCAAATGCCAGGGCTGTATGTAATTAGCCAGACACAATTAATGATTCAGTGATTTGATTGCCACACAGTGTCTCAGACACTGTGTAGATCTATCAGCTGAATAGACTCACAAGTTCTTACATGATTCCCAACCTTCCCTAGTAAACAAACAAGCCACTTTCATTGCTAAGGATTGATTAGCCCACTGGCCTGATTTTTATGCCGGGGAAAGACAAACACGTTTCATCATGGCCTTGCTTCTATGATTTCAGCACAATGGCACCTGCATAAAACCTCCAAAAGGCTGTTTCGAAGGCCTAGTTCTCCAAAGACAAATCTAAATGGTCACCATTTCAAAAGCACCTGATCACTTGGCGCCAGAGCCACAAAGCTACTTGGGTACCCAATTCCAACATTTAGATGCTGCTGACAGTAGTATACGGGCCCTACCATCAATCAAACTTCGATCCCACCCCATGACCTTCAAGCCCCTTCCCACCTGTCACTTAAAGATCCACCTCCTAGGGGTATTACTTCTGGGTCAAGATGGACACATCTTGGAAGTAAAGGGCATCATGTGACCAGTCAAGACGTGTTTCACTCCCTGTAGGATTGCCCTAGAACAGATTTGACCAATCAGGGGGTTTATGCAGCGGCATGACTGGACCGGAAATGGGTCAGGTGACCCCTCTAAGAGCTCCTCCCACCATCTTTTACCCATCAGGATGAGTTCTGGCTGCAAAAGATTTCCTCAAGAGCAGATCTGACCAATCGGGGGAGTTTTGGGGTAGGGCAAACCATCTGGCAGTGGGTTGTGTGGCCCCTTGAAGAACTTCTTCCACCACCCTCTACCAATCAGGATCAATTTATCTCCCTCCCCCACATAACCACCCCAAGAGTGGAATTGACCAATCAGGGCAGGTTCTGGGATGGGGAGACGCAGCCAGAAGAGGGTCATATGACCCCTCTAAGAGTTTCCCCTACTATTGTCTACTAATCAGAGTGCAGCAGCTCCCCCAGAAGTCCCAACACCATGCAGAAGAGGCAATCTCATTCCAAGAACACCTATTTTGGAAATCATGGAAACTCTGAGAGGAAACTTGGATTCCCTCACCACTTTCTTGAGAACTTCAGAGCTTCTTTTAGCCCCATGGGCTTTGAAGCGTCCTCGGAAAAAGGGCTACCTCAGCAACAGCTCTGAGGAGGAGGGAGCGGCCAAGGAGAGCCCTTTGGCCCAGCCATTGATGGATACACTGGAACGCAACCCCAAAACCCAACTGTTTGTGAGGAAGACCGATGAGCCTCTTGTCTTCCATCCCTATGCAGGTCAACGTGGAGACCCTGGTCGGCGTTGCATCAGACAGTGAAGATGAACTGGGCCTGCCTTTTTTCTCCTCAGTGCCACTACAAATGATTGAAGAGATGTGGAGGAGGATGTTGGTGAGAAGTTTAAGAGGAGGCTTGGCCTGGAACTGACTGAGCCAGTTGCGTGTCACGTGCGTAAGAAAGGCAGGGGGCCTGTGGTACGTATGACTGCTTATGCTGCCCTTATTCACTTTCTTTTCAAATGTTGTGAGGGTTGTGGCATGGACGCACTACCCCAACTGCACCATAACTGAATGACGTGGGCATCGTGGGATATAAACCGCGAGCTCCAGCACATGTGCTTACTGAGCTTGGACAGCTGATTAAACACTATTACGCACTGCAATGCCTGTGCTTAATCATAGACTCATAGAACACTAGAACTGGAAGGGACCTTGAGCGATCATCAAGTCCAGTCCCCTGCCCTCACGGCAGGACCAAGCACCGTCTAGATCATCCCTGACAGGTGTCTGTCTAATCTGCTCTTAAATATCTCCAGTGATGGAGATTCCACAACCCCCCCTAAGCAATTTATTCCAGTGTTTAACCACTCTGATAGTTAGGAAGTTTTTCCTAATGTCCAACCTAAACCTCCCTTGCTGCAGTTTAAGCCCATTGCTTCTTGTCCTATCATCAGAGGCAAAGGAGAACAATTTCCCCGCCCCCCCCCTCACTGTGACACCCTTTTAGATACCTGAAAACCGCTATCATGTCCCCTCTCAGTCTTCGCCTTTTCAAACTAAACAAGCCCAGTTCCTTCAAGAGCTCAAGAACATGTAGCGCAAGGGATGACCGTGGTAAAGGCAGAGCAAATCGGTCAAGATCCTGACAGAGTTGTGGCCAATCCGGGAGATGCTGGCGTACAGGGTTATATTGACCATGAGAGCCGCACAAAAAGTTACCTCATTGGTAACTGATTTTGTTTTTCTTAATCTGTTCGCCAGCCTCTTGTTTCTGAAGCCTCTTGTGGAGGAGGCGTCATTTTATGGCCTCTTAAAAGAGGTTCAGATGTTTCTTCTGAGAGTTCAGAGATTTTAGGCACCGCATACCCCTTTGTTGTGGTTGTGTTCAATTCCACCGTGCGTCAAGGCCCCAAGATGGCCCGCTTCTCCTCAGTATGGGCACACCTCTCCTGCTGCTCGGTTTCCACACAGGTTCAGCACAGTGGGAGCATAAATTTGCCACCCACTCTGACAGCTAACAACAGGATAATGAGGCCTTGTGGGAAGTACACTTTACCTTACACAATTCCAAAATAATTTGTGATGGTCTAAATTTGTCAGGCACTCTATCAGGATGGCTGATAGGGTGTTCGTTGGTTTTGTTTATAAAAGGGTGCAGGCTAGTGACGTCATAATAATGGATTTCCTCACTAAGGTTAGATTTGTAACACAAGTGTTAGTCTTCCTCCCTAAAGGAGCATCACTAGGCATGAGAAGATGAGGCTTGGTTTACCAAACTCTGCACACTCCCTGCCTGTTTCTGTCCTCACTACATAACCACGTCTTTTCAGACAGTCGGCCTTGAGCTGCGTCTTGCAACAAAGAAACCCAAAAGTTGTCCTTGTCACATGGCTCTGTGCTTTTCCCCAATGACAAATGACACAGCCATGGGCAAAATGCAAGCTAAACTAAAAGGCGGGGGGGCCCTCAATGACGGCGTGACCATCTAAAACAGTGGTTCCCCCCTTTGGCATTACGCCCCCCTTTTTGATTTTTGAAAAACCCTCACACCACTCCTCCCAAATAGCAGCAAAACTTGTTGAGAACTGAACAGGGCAGGCGGAGGAGGCTGGTCTAAAACCATGGCTTGAAAACTTTTTTTTCTCATGGACCACTTGAAAATTGCTGAGGGTCTCAGCAGACCATTCAATGATCTTTCTGGATGTTGTTTGTACTGTTAACTAACTACTGTAAAGCACTTTGGATTAAAGCTCTCTATGAAAACAACCCTTAATCATTAACTTCTGGTGTTGTGGGAATAAAAGCATATGACCCATATTTTAATATCAGTAGGGGTCTGGGACTGGGAAGAAGCTGGAGGAAGAAGAAGAAGGTTGTCTCTCCTCAACAGCTACTGCCCTGGACCTGGAGAAAGTCACCTCTTTCTCTGGCCTCCGCAGCCTTGTGCTTCTCAATTTCCCCACCCTCTCTTCTCACCTCACTCCCTCCCCCACATACCTCCTGCTTCCCACACTACACTCTGCCAGTGACTCCCTATTCCCCCCAAGATCACCACCTCACCTTACACATACATATTCTCCAGGATCCAGGCACTTAAGTAGTGGAATCCATGTGCCAGCGTTTTCTTTTTGTGCAAAACCCCCTTTTTCCGTGAGCTCCTTGTGCCCCCAAAAAGGAGGTTTACCGATCTTGCGGAAAAAGGGCTTTTTGCGCAAAAAGAAAATGTCCCCACTGCTTGTTTCTGCGCAAAAACCCCAGCGCAAAAACATATCGGCAGAAAATATGCAAATGAGATCCCTCCTCCGCCTCGCCCATTACGTCGAAGGCGCCTTTGCTGCACGTCAGTTTAATTTTCAAACCCAGCCCCTTCCACAAAAGTTTTTCTTGAAAGAAACAGGTCGCGGGGTAGGTGAACAGCTCTGTCGTGCTCCGGGCTGTCAGCTTCACCCGCCGCATAAACCCCCAGATTCCTGCTCCGGTTTTTCAAGCCGTCCAGCAGTGTCCTTGTAAAACAGGCCAGCAAAAGTCGTGTAGCTAAAGGTATAAGGGTAACCGTTGTTGCTTTGGCTTGCCAGGCAGTCTCCTAGCGTGACATCCAGCTGGCTGAAAATAGATGCCACCGGGCAGTTCACCAGGCCCACCTTGTTCTCCCTGGCGAGGTCCACTCTGTCTTCTTTTACAGTCTTGTGACAAAGGTAAAGCAGCATGTTCTTTAAATCCATATGATCTAGGCCATTCCCTGGGGCTGGACCCCACGGGAGCCCCCAGCAGTGGGATCGGGCCTGCAGCAGCCTGCAGCAGTGGGGCCAGAGCTGGAGCCCATGGCAGCCTGTGGCAGCCTACGACAGAGAGGCCACGGCTGGTGCTGGAGCGTGAGACAACGTGGCAGACAGTTCAGCTGGGGCCAGGGGCCAGCAGCCCAGCAGTTTGGGCCTTGGAGGCAGGTGACTGGGACAACACAGCCCACTGTGTAGGGGCAGGCTAGGAGGCCAGTGGCAGGGGAACTTCCTTGGTCCAGAAAATTCCCTCGTTCAGGACTGGGGGGGCAGAGGGGCAGCTGGTGGTAATGAAGCCTCCGGGGCTCGCAACTGCCATCCCTGCCTTGAGCTGCTCCGGACAGCTCTAAAGGCTCAGTCTGGGTGTGTGTGCGCACACTGTGCTCCAGGCAGTGCTGAAGGCTCTGGGGTCTGGCCCTGCCCCTTCCATCTGAGGCCCCGCCCCTTCTGGGAGCATGGAGCCGACCCCGCCCACCTTGCCCTGGGGCCCGGTGTGGCTATCGCCTATCGGTTCCCCTGCTAGTAACTCATCAACTCCTACCTCACCTCCCACTTGAGTTGTCCACGGCCCCCTGAAACCGACCGATGAGCCAGAAGACTCCTCAGGCTGGAGGCATGAGCAGGAGCAGTCAGCCACAAGCACGTGCCTCTTGCTGCCGACATATTTTGAAATGCGACCGGGATGTGGTAATCCTTTGGCATGGCTGCCGCTTTTTTTTTTCTCTCTTTTAGGTGCTAAGCCATGGAGCTGATCTCGTTTCATGGAGCGGTGGCATTCCTATTTGCGCATGTCACACAGAAACCAGCCCGACCTGTGTTCTGTGCCCCATGGAGCCACACAGGTGACGACCCTACCCCCATTTCCATTTGTGCTGGAGAACCTTTCCTCGGGAAGACACCGAGCGAATAGCTTCCTTGCCCAGCACGAACGGCTCTGCAGGGGCTTAATCTTGCAATGTGCAAAGCACGCCGGTGAGATGTCGCCCTTCCTTAGACTCTTCCCACATTTAGCGTCCATCTACACAGCAACGTTATTCTGAACTAACTGAGTCCGCGTCTACGCACAAGCCGTTATTTCGACAGAATGCTGAAATAGTGTCGAGCTGGAGGACTGCTCATGCCGACTCCTGGAACCCTCATTGCACGAGGAGTAAGGGAAGTCGGAGGATGAGGACTCTATTTCGAAATAAGTGCTGTGTCTACGCTCTCACTTTTGAAATAAGTGACGCGAGTAGCGTAGCTCAAGTTGCGTCGCTTATTTCAAGTTAAGCCCTGCTGTGTAGACGTACCCTTAGTGGAAGCTGATGGTGCAACACTTTGGAGCACCAAGACACACTGAGACCAGAACAACACAGGACTTTTTTCACTCTGGTATTGACATTTGGAGATACAGGAATGTATTTCCTCTTGCCATCTGAAGGTTAAGGCAATTCCAGAGCTGACTGGCGCGTATTTGCTTTGATAAAGAGTTAAGCAGGCAGCAGGGCGTATGTTCATAGTGCTGGTGGCAGCGATGCTTACAAGGAGGCACCTTTCTTTGTTCCTTTAATGATTCACTACTTGGGAGTGTGGGAATCAACTTATATAAAGTTTTGCTAGTACGTAGATACACCAAGAGCCTGAAATAGTGGATTGGTGAGAACCTGAGACAGAAACTCTACGCGTTGTCCTGGTGGCCCAGAAAAAACAAAACTGGAAAGGGCTACAGAGGGCACCCCTCCTAGATACGAGGAAGTAGTCATTTGTCATTTTTTAATTTATTGCTTTTTGCGTCTTATTAAAAAGGCTGCCGGCAGAAGCATGCAGTAGGAGAGGCCTGATTTTGAATTGGACCTCAGCCAAGGCTCACGTGTGGGGACTAAACTTTTGCAGCTGGAAAATCATTGTGGGTGCAGTGGGGCTAATTCTGACCTCGGACGTGTGCCTGTGTGACAGCTGCTTTAAATACCAGCTGCTCCAGTGCATAATTACAGGCGTGAAATTGCAAGTATTTCTAGCTAGTGCACAAAGGGAGGTTGTTGTTTTTTTAAAAAGATCTGCCCTGTGGTCCCTTCATGGGGCGAAGTCTGTCCCTTCGTTGGGTGGGGCGTGGAGAGAAACATATCCATGGGGTTTTAATCATCCGTGGGCCTCACCAGTCACAAAGGACCTGGATAGAGCTCTGGAGCTATTCTTCCTTAAGTGCATCTCTAGCAGGTTTAGATTCCTTTTGGGCTGCTGCTGAGCAATTTATGCCAGCGATGGGCTAGCTAGGCCAGTGAGTGGGCCACATGAGTGGCCTCCTTCATCTCAATAGGCCGCAAGATTGTCGTAACTGAGACAGTCTCCCAGAGTGGGGCAGTTTTGCTCCCTGCGTGTGCATCCCTAGAATGTGCGGGGGGCGATGGAACCGCAACAGCCCTGTGACTGGCTGCAGAAGGAGCACACGGCTCTGACAGTCTGTGAGATGTGCAATCAGCACACCGCTCACTTTGGGTACGTCTAGACTACCTGGCTCGTCAACGGAGCCGTGTAGATTAGGTTTGTAGACATAGGGAAATGAAGCGGCGATTTAAATAATGAAAATGACTGCCATGCTGCGCCGATCAGCTGGTTGTTGGCTCAGCGCGGGAGTCTGGATGTTCTGCGGTCAACATCAAAAGCCTTTGTCGACCGCCCCGTTATGCCTTGTGGGATGAGGTTTACCGGGGCGGTCAACAAAGGCTTTTGATGTTGACCGCAGAACATCCAGACTCCCGCGCTGAGCCAACAACCAGCTGATCGGCGCAGCATGGCAGTCATTTTCATTATTTAAATCGCCGCTTCATTTCCCTATGTCTACAAACCTAATTTACATGGCTCCGTCGACGGAGCCACGTAGTCTAGACGTACCCTTTGTGTGCCCTTGCTTTGTGGGCGTGTTACTTGAGTAATACCAGTAGGAAAAAATCCTATGTGGGCAAAGCCCAGCAGAATCGGACAACCTCAGGCCTGGACAATGGTAAACAAAACGTCACATCAAGAACCCGGATGGGTTCCCCACCACTGATTTATGCTCTCTCGGCCTTTGAGGCAACACTTTCAATGACCTGAAATAGCCGCCATTGCGGGACACGTTTCTCTTGCTCGGGATGAACAGGTCACTCCAGCGTGCAAACCACTGCAGAAGTGAGGATTCACGCCGTGTTGGGAATCTCCAGCAGGCCAGACAAGAGGGGCTTGGTTCTCCTGTGGAGTGAGACCCCTGTGCCGCTCTGTGGCAGACTAAAGGTGTCTGAAGAGCGAGGGGCAGGACGTTACATTTCTGCTGTCCGGGTGGCATAGTGGGAGGCGAATTCATGACAAAGAGAATCGGGCAGCTTAATCTTCAAGTATCCATGCAGTAAGTAGCTTGCATGCATTGAATTGCTCCTCACGCCCTAAAGGGTCCCCATGTTCTTTGCACATGTACTGAACTATCGCACAGGGATCACGTCTCCTGTTGTTCAACTGCATCAGCAACACCCCACACTTTTGGAAGTGTAGGGCTGCAAGGGAAGAATGACATCGCCAGTTAAAGCTCTCGTCGGGCACGCGCCAGTCCCCGCGGGTGCAATTCGGCTAGGCCCCCGAAGATACACCCCTGTGCTAGTGAAAAGCCTCATGGGATCGTGGATGGAGACGGCCTCGTTCTGACGTGCCAGGGTGACACGCCCCTTTTGCGCAGCTGTAACTGACAGGGATGATGTCTCCACTCCTCACCGAATGCGAATACATCGCAGTGTAGAGGAAACAGGGCTGCTGAATTCGGTCTGGGAGGCCTCTCTGAGTTGAGTCACTGGAATGCCTGGGAGAGCACACACAAGACAGAAACACCGAGCCGGTAGCTGCCACCAGGATGTCTTGCCGCACACCAGGAATGGTAATAGGGTGGGTGTAGTCAGCAAACACCCATGGAGGGAGGCGGGCTCCCCTGACCAAGTGGCACACATTCCAATTTGAGATGCTGGGCCAAAATCGCCCTTCCCAGAGGCAGTGTGCCATGACAGGCCAGCCAAACCTCTGTCTCCACAGCACCGAATGGGGTGGCTGCAAAGACAGCTGAGCAGTAGCTGTGACCACTGTGCGGCTCAGCCCTGTCAGATCTAGGGTTGCCAGGAGTCCAGTTTTGAACCGGACAGTCTGGTATTTGAGCTTTCTGTCCGGGAAACAAATTGAGAAAATACCGGACATTGATATGTCCAGTATTTTCTAACTAAGTAAGTTTTATTATTATCACGAGTATCCGTACGTAGTTGCGAACTGCCTGGCTGGTAGACATGCTCACACTGCGTGAGTCACACTGTGTGAGCGTG